GAGGAAGTAGAGTCTGAGATACTGCCTCGCTTTATAAGCAACCGAGGCGAAAAGTCATTCGAAAAAAAAATAAAAAAAGCAAAAGCCCTACTACTTCGGTTACCTTTGAACCGAGGCAATATCCTAACATTTTTTGCCTCGATTCACAACAGAGGCAAAAAGGGGTAGACTTTTTACCTCGCTTGTACATGACTCGGTTCAAGAACCGTTGCCTATGGATGAAAATAATTGTTGTCGTTTTCCTTGATTGCACTAGCGAATGCTAACACACATACAAAGAAGTCAAACATGATAAATTCGATAAGATTTCAGCAGCATTTTGTATTGATCTCCAAAATACACGAAATGAAAGTAGTCACGGATGACCATAATCAAATATGCATTCGGAGAATACAAATAATCTCAACCAAAATTTTATCAAACTTATCTATAAACTCTAACGTAAATGTTATAGCAAATTATGAAAAAAAAATTCAAACTATCCGATCGGATAATTCAAAATTTAATACAAACGATTAAGAGTTTAATTGTTTGTGTTAACTATCAAATGGGAGCCAATTTTCACTCAATGATTTCATACTATAAATATATTCAAAATTTAATCAACAATAAATTACCAAAATTCAATCTAAAGTTTACATAACATGAAAATCATAATTAACACATCAAACTTAACCAATCATGCATACTCAAGAGACAATGTGTAATAGAGAAACTAAAAATCACATATTCAATAATTGATAATCAATAACCAATAACCAATCATACATGTCCAAAAAAATAAAAAAGCTAACCTTTTTGGAGGGATGGAAAATCATTATCACCGTAAGAGCGGAGGGAAGTCGTTTTCAAGCAATGGACATTAGGCACTTTATGCCACCGTGGAACTCGCGCACAAAACTGCACCATAAGCCAAAATGAATTAGTGCAAACGAAACTTAATTGGTACAAACAAAATTTAATCGATGCAAACAAAATTTAATCGGTCCAAACTAACATTAATCGGTGCAAATTGGAAGAAACACAATACCAACAACAATGATGAACGCGAACCAAGAAGAACGAAGCAGTGAAAGTGAGGCTCGCATTTTGATTATAGGGTTTTACAAGGCTTTTGACGTCGGCCCCCACCCCCAATGTCTAAAGGGTATAGGACATCGGCCCCCAAACCCAGACGGCGTCTAATTGCTAAAAAAATCCATTCTGGCACCACTTTTGGCTTATTTTTGAAGTTTATTGACGTCCGTGTAAGGGGATTTGATGTCGAAAGGGTATAGGACGTTGACTTCCTCTATGTCTACATCTAAAGTCTAAAAAAATTAACTTTTCAATTCTTCGGGTAGAGGATTTGACGTCTGGTCTGAGGAGGCCAACGTTTAATACATAGTTGACATTAAGGACACTATTAGCTGACGTCTATAATGCATATTCTTATTTATAAAATTGTCACTGGTCATTTTTTATGTTGGTTATTTAGTGATTAAACATTGAACGCGTGATGTTATAGACTATTTTTAAACTAATAAATTGGTATAGAAAAACTTTTGATATTTACAAAATTATTACGTTCCACGACTTGATAAATTATAGCTGGTATTAAAATATTTGGCTTAATACTATTATTGGTCCCAATTTTTGTTTGCTATGATCGAAATGGTCCTAATTTTTTTAAAATGTTCAATGTAGTCCTACTTAGTTTCATCTTGGGGATCCAAACAGAATAGCAGCTGCAACAGATGAATCGCTTTGGTCATCGAAGTATTGTCATCGCAGACTCTACTTTTGGCGTGAAGAGACTAAAAGTAATTTTGTTTTTCCAATCATCACTAAATTATGCTAGATATAAAGCAAAAGTAGTTTTGTTTTTCTCGTTGCTATACATTTTTAATTGACCTTACTTAGTTATCTTTTCATATTGGCAATAGAAAGTCAGACATTATAAAAGGCTTGAGGGTTTAGGTGTGGCGGCGCTAGGGTTAGGTAGAGAGAAAGTAGGGCTTCAGTTTCTATTTGGGCTGAAGGAAGAAGAAGATGGTGACGTGGCAGTAGTTAAACGCCATCTCATTTGGGATTTGCACAGCTGGAGCAATGGTTGTTAAGGATTTAAACGACGTTTGTAAAAAGGACTAAATTGAACACAAATTACACTCTTTAGGACTACATTGAAAATTTTAAAAAAATTAGGACAATTTCGAACATAGGTAATAAAAATTTGAACCAGTATTAAACCAAAATATTTTTATGCCATAAGAATCGAAAGAGTCACAACTAACAAAATTGAAATATTTTCTCTTATACTTCTTATCATATAATGATTGTATTTTAACTTATTTAAATATCATAGAGTTTTCTGGAAGAACTTTGATTCAAAACTCATGTATCATCATCTCAAAGAGTTGAAACCTTGACAAGAAATTTTTTTTTTTTGTTAGAATTCATCTTATGATGCAACCTACATATAATGTAAATGATAAGATTAAGTCGGTATGATGTATGTATCCATTTATTATTATCGTTAATAGACTATAATTATTAAAGGTTTTCAATATGAGATGAACCTAGAAACTAGTGAAAAAAATTGATAAGTGTGACCAGTCAAAATACTACAAATCAATATTGTACATCATACTAAGGAATATTGATGAATGCTGCAATTTATAAACGTAAAAGTAAAATGACAGCAGCTTATTTTATAATGACATGTACTGCACCCAAGAAAATCTATTTGCGTCCATTCGTGCCAAGAGGAGGTACACTTTGTTCGTTTCTGAAGAAGTTTCGAGGGTCAACCCTTGTCTTCACGCGAGCCAATCTGTTAAAGTTGTTACTAAAATACTTGAAGCCCCAAATGCTTGCTTGGCTGAAGCTTGTGTGACCATTGTTATTAACTCCAATGTCAAGGTCTCTATAGTTCAGATATGCAGATCTAGGATTCTTTGAAACATAAGCTTCCGTATAATTATACAATCTTCTAATCCAGTTGACGTGCCTCTGTGCTGCCACATCCCCTTTCTCAAACCAAGACACTCCGTATTGAATGTGGAATATGTTGCCAGCTCTGTGTGGGAATGGAGTTTCGGATTCCGAAATCCTATCCATCCTGCCTCCATAAGGAGTGAATTGAACGAAAGCATTTTCAGCCTCATCATCAAAAAAGAAAGGCCATAACCCTTCTAACCCAACATCAGGAATGGGATCTCTCACATAATCTGATTTTGCTTTGAAGAACGACAAACCGTTTAGCTGAGTTCTGTTCAGCAATACATCGGTCGATTGACCGTTTGTAAATCCAGCCATGAAGAGAATTGATTCTATCCAACTCATCTCAGTGCAGTCTTCTCTCACCAAACCCAACTCCGGAAAGTTCTCTTGCAAATAGGGAATAAGGTCATCTGCACGTCCTAGATACAAAGATTCAAACTGCGCTTGTACTGTTAGATTCCCACTTTGACTTGAATTTACCCTTGCCATGTTGATCCTAATGGTTAGGCTCTCGTTAAGTTTGTTTGCCACACGCTGCCACTTATGAATAATTCCCGTTGCATTTTCTTCCAACGTCCTTGGAACTCGGAACACTGTCACAGTTGATGGAACTGAAACTAGATTTATCTTCCAAGCCACGACGATTCCAAAGCTTGCCCCACCACCACCTCTAATGGCCCAAAATAGATCATCTCCCATTGTTTTTCTATTAAGGAGATTACCATTGACGTCAACTATGTGAACATCAGTAACATTATCAGCAGCAAGACCGTACTTACGCATCAAGAATCCATAGCCACCACCGCTAATGTGGCCACCAACGCCCACAGGGGGGCACACACCTGCTGGGAACCCTAGTGTTCTGCTTTTCTGACTAATCGTGTAGTAAAGTTCACCGAGGGTTGCCCCAGCTTGAACCCATGCAGTGTTGTTTTCTACGTCAACTTCGATTTCTCGAATCTTTATGAGATCAACGACGACAAATGGAACTCCAGAAACGTATGAGAGACCCTCGTAATCATGGCCTCCGCTTCGGGTTCGAATTTGCAGGCCATGTCTTTGGGCACATATTATGGTGGCTTGAACGTGGGAAACAACGAGTGGAGTCACGATGACCACGGGTTTTGAACTTACGTTGAAGAACCTAAGATTTTGAATGGAAACATCTAGGACAGAGGAGTATGAAGAATTTGTTTGGGTGTAAACAACACTGGAGATTGAGGTGTTTTCGGGATAATCGTAAAGACATTGAACAAACTTTTCATGAGAATCTGCTGAAGAAGGTGTAAGTGAAAATAAAAGAGCAAAGGCAAAAACGGCGCAAAAATAAGAGCTAAAACGTTTCATTTTTGTGTATGCTTTGTTGTACATACGAGAGGTGCAAGTTGATCGTGAGGGATGTGGAATTTATAGTAGTCTGAAGTTTCATGTTAACGTCCTTAAGTGTAGAACTAAATTTGTCAACGTAAGCCCTACGTTGCGAAATTTTGGTTATATAAAAAAATCAACGCATGCCTAATTCTGCCATATCAGAGAAGACAATTCAATCACGTAAACTAGTATAAGACTATTCTACAAATGATGCATGGAGAAGCTTCAATGTAAGAACTACACACTGACCAGATATAAAAAACAAAAAGTAAACATTAGCAAACTTGCTTGTCATGCATATATGTTCACGCAATTATGCAATAGCATCTTAACTTCATATCCTTAGACAAATTGAACAATTATTTTTCTGAGGGTTTTGATGTTGTGTTAAACCTTCCACGTTGGAAGCAACTTTATCCTCGTAGTCGCCTTTTCTAGCCCATTTTTAAACCACCCATTTTTGTCGTGTGTAGTTTATTATTGAAGGACGAAAATTATTTTTTGGAAAATGGTACAACCGTTTGAAAACTTATAGATTTTTAAGGGTAATGTGAACATAATAAAACTTTTGTAATTATAACAAAAAAATAGAAGAATGGAAAAATAGTAAGCGTGTACCATAAATAGGTTTGGTTGGGTAAAGATATTCAGATCCCTACATTAAATAATCTGTAATAAATATTGAATGACTGTTTACAATCTAAATCNTCAAACTGCGCTTGTACTGTTAGATTCCCACTTTGACTTGAATTTACCCTTGCCATGTTGATCCTAATGGTTAGGCTCTCGTTAAGTTTGTTTGCCACACGCTGCCACTTATGAATAATTCCCGTTGCATTTTCTTCCAACGTCCTTGGAACTCGGAACACTGTCACAGTTGATGGAACTGAAACTAGATTTATCTTCCAAGCCACGACGATTCCAAAGCTTGCCCCACCACCACCTCTAATGGCCCAAAATAGATCATCTCCCATTGTTTTTCTATTAAGGAGATTACCATTGACGTCAACTATGTGAACATCAGTAACATTATCAGCAGCAAGACCGTACTTACGCATCAAGAATCCATAGCCACCACCGCTAATGTGGCCACCAACGCCCACAGGGGGGCACACACCTGCTGGGAACCCTAGTGTTCTGCTTTTCTGACTAATCGTGTAGTAAAGTTCACCGAGGGTTGCCCCAGCTTGAACCCATGCAGTGTTGTTTTCTACGTCAACTTCGATTTCTCGAATCTTTATGAGATCAACGACGACAAATGGAACTCCAGAAACGTATGAGAGACCCTCGTAATCATGGCCTCCGCTTCGGGTTCGAATTTGCAGGCCATGTCTTTGGGCACATATTATGGTGGCTTGAACGTGGGAAACAACGAGTGGAGTCACGATGACCACGGGTTTTGAACTTACGTTGAAGAACCTAAGATTTTGAATGGAAACATCTAGGACAGAGGAGTATGAAGAATTTGTTTGGGTGTAAACAACACTGGAGATTGAGGTGTTTTCGGGATAATCGTAAAGACATTGAACAAACTTTTCATGAGAATCTGCTGAAGAAGGTGTAAGTGAAAATAAAAGAGCAAAGGCAAAAACGGCGCAAAAATAAGAGCTAAAACGTTTCATTTTTGTGTATGCTTTGTTGTACATACGAGAGGTGCAAGTTGATCGTGAGGGATGTGGAATTTATAGTAGTCTGAAGTTTCATGTTAACGTCCTTAAGTGTAGAACTAAATTTGTCAACGTAAGCCCTACGTTGCGAAATTTTGGTTATATAAAAAAATCAACGCATGCCTAATTCTGCCATATCAGAGAAGACAATTCAATCACGTAAACTAGTATAAGACTATTCTACAAATGATGCATGGAGAAGCTTCAATGTAAGAACTACACACTGACCAGATATAAAAAACAAAAAGTAAACATTAGCAAACTTGCTTGTCATGCATATATGTTCACGCAATTATGCAATAGCATCTTAACTTCATATCCTTAGACAAATTGAACAATTATTTTTCTGAGGGTTTTGATGTTGTGTTAAACCTTCCACGTTGGAAGCAACTTTATCCTCGTAGTCGCCTTTTCTAGCCCATTTTTAAACCACCCATTTTTGTCGTGTGTAGTTTATTATTGAAGGACGAAAATTATTTTTTGGAAAATGGTACAACCGTTTGAAAACTTATAGATTTTTAAGGGTAATGTGAACATAATAAAACTTTTGTAATTATAACAAAAAAATAGAAGAATGGAAAAATAGTAAGCGTGTACCATAAATAGGTTTGGTTGGGTAAAGATATTCAGATCCCTACATTAAATAATCTGTAATAAATATTGAATGACTGTTTACAATCTAAATCTAAAGATGGTAAACTTTTCCTTTATTTCACTTACCCAATACAGCAATACAAAGTAGGATGGGCCCAGATTTTCAAATAAGAAAAGTTGCTTGCAGTTATAAGAGATTAATGATGGATGTGGTCTTAAGTTTAATTTATTTGCGGAAGTAAGAAAAATACGTTGAGTTAGAAACATAATATTAATACTCATTTCTTATTTACAAATATTCAAACTTGAATATTATATTCAAAACTATCCATGACTTTTATCACTCAAACAACAGATGTCACATTGAAATATTTCATTATCATATGAATTTTATAAATTAAATGTTATGTGGTCTTAAGCGTAATTTATTTGCTGAAGTAAGAAAAATACGTTGAGTTAGAAACATAATATTAATACTTATTTTTAATTTACAAATATTCAAACTTGAATATTATATTTTTCAAAAATATCCATGACTTTTATCACTCAAACAACATGTCGCATTGAAATATTTCATTATAATATGAATTTTATAAATTAAATGTTATCATCAAATCATAATAATCGGCCAACCCTTTAAGTTAAGTTTATGAACAATTATTCAGAAGTTACCATCAAATCAATAATTATTAATTGCTATGAAATTTATAAAAGAAAAACGTAGATTCACCTTATTAGTGTGTTTTGGTAGGAATTTTGTGAGACCAAGATACTAACCTAAAATGTTTCGATAGAAATTTTGTGAGACCGAGACAATAACCTTTGACTTGTGTGCTCCGCTTGAATTCTTCCAGTTTAGACCGATCAGTCTCTTTCAGTATTAATCGCTTGGTGAACTTCAATCTTGACCGCTCGGTCACCCCCGTGGCAAAAGGGAAGAGGTACCTGCAAAAGACACTCTGACGCTCAAACTAGGAGCGGTTTTATGAACGGTTTGCTACAGTTAAATATTTAAGTCCTGATCGGACGTAAGTAGGACGTAGTGGAGTGTGAGTTGACTTTGTGTTTGCCTCAAACCTAAACCCTTGTTTATAGAGTTTAAAGGAATCTGACCAATTAATTTACCTCTTAATGGTCATTACTGCAAACCTTAACTGTTTAACGGTAGCCGTTGTCACATTTATTGTGTCTTAACTCTACTTAACGGTTGTCGGGACCGAACGGCTGAGAGGCTTTTTACTGCATGTTGACCGTTCGGTCCCTTAGGGTCGTATGTCATCCTAATCGATCAGTAGTATATGAGTCCAAAGTGAGGTAGAGGCTCTCCTGAACCTTTACAGTTCGGTCGGCTATGAGCTCATAATAACATTAGTGTTTTTCTAATTATGAATAAAATGGTAGAAACACAATTTCATAAAAGGCATTTTTGCGATTTAGTATTTAATAAATATATTGGACAAAAAACTAATACGATTAGGTTATAACTTAATGGTAATTACCTTTTCGTCTCCAGAACCATATATAAATAAATAGACAGTAAAATAAATTTGTTAAGAGTTAAATATGTTTTGGAAATAATAGGTCTCCTTGGAAATGATTTTATTTTAATTAGTAATCTTAAACTATTTAAGTCTCTACATTTAAGTGAGACGAAAACATTAGGTGTAGTAGGAATATAAACCCCACCATCCCTTTTATGTTTCTACTGCACTACATCACTTAGGAATCAAGCTCAAAGACACTTTAAATATTATTTTTTCCTTACACATTTTGAGATGTTTTTTAAAGACAAAATCATGACGAATCACAGATTTCAAAGCAAACAATACCTTGGATAAGGAATGATTGACCTCATTGATGTTACTCGACGAACTTAGGATTGGAAGATTGGCACTCACCATGAGGTTGATAAATGATGTTCTAAGAAGCATCAATCCTTTTAGCTCAGATGAATAGTCATTCCTTTTAGATCTCAAGTGCAAGAGCTTATGTTTTTATCACACCTAATAGTTTTACATCACTTAGGAGTTGAGGCTAAAAATAGTTTAAATATTCCTTCCTACATCCATCCTCCGAGATGCATTTTAATGACAAAACCATGATAGAGCTTCACAATCCAAAACAAACCGTACCTCAGATGAGTAGCGATTGACCCTAATGATAAGATAATATATCAAATTATATCAATGTAACTTACCTAAATTACTACACTGATAATAATTGTTTTAATAAAATACAATCTTATTAATCTAACTAGTCATTTATAATTATATATTATGTCAAATTATATCTAATAATCACATAAATATTTATATATTTTAAATATATATTATCGTTTTTAATATATGTGTGTGTGAGGTATTAATAATTGTTTGTTATCTAATTTTTGGTTAAATATATTTTTAATGTTTGGATTTTGATATAAAATAAAAATTTATTTCTGTTTAAAACTTTGATACATTTTAGTCGTTAAACTTTAAAAATGAATAGGTAAAGCTCTTTCAACTCAATTATGTTAAAGTTTTTAACATGAAAAACATGTTTCATGTCAGCATTTGAATTTTTTAAACCTTTTTTCAATTGATGTTAATCGAGAAATGTATTTAACATATGTCAAAAAAAATTAACACAATTAAATTAAATAAACTATATTCATCCATTTATAAAATTTGGAAACAAAAATATATTAAAGTTTTATATAAAAACAAATTTCAATTTCAAGTGAAAGTTTATATACTAACAAATATTTAACTTAATATTTTTTTATTGATAGAGTTTTGGCGAAAAGAAATTTTAATGTACATGCATTTAGAAAAAATTATCCATTAAAAGTTATTGAATTGTGAAATACTTGAGATAAATTACACCTTTATATATCAAACACATGTCGATACTACAATCTCGTATAAAATTGGTCTTATTTAAATCTTATTAATTTTTATTGGTTGGAAAGGTAAAAACAAAGTTATTGTGTTTAATTATCTAATGAAGTCTATTATTTTGTTTAAACGTAAATGTTATAATCGATTAAAAGTTAAAAAAATATTAAAGTAAAGGAATCAATATTTAATGATAAAGTCAATTCTCATTGTCCTTCCTGGCTGCTAATAGACTAGACTAATTCATCAACGAACAAGATGTCGTTTTATAAAACCATTTCCATTTTCACCTTAATAAAATCTTGCTAATAAATAAAAAAAATTAAAAATATAATTATCATCGTTGGACCTGACCTCTGCAATAAATATATATATAGTTTTGTTAAACTAAGTTCATTTTCCGGTTAATACATTTTAGGTATAAGTTTTAGTAGAAAAAAAAATCTTTATTCATAAAAAAAAAAGCATACTTTAAACACAGAGTATTTTAATCATTTTGATTTTTAATTTAAAATAAAAAAATCAAAAACACTTTTTTAGTGTTAATTCATTTTCTTCATTTATTTAATTTATTTCTCTCCCATTTTCATTCTCTCTCACCCACACACAACAATTGAATATTTTGAACTATAGGAAACTAATTTTGTCATTCAAATTATTTTCTTTCCACAGCCATAGAACGTTTTCTTTTTTTATGAAATCCAACCTATAATTAAAGATCTTAAACATGACATTATATGTACACTAAAAATTTGACGTACTCTAAAAATTCCTTGTCAATGATTATTCTTCCCATTGTTCAAACTTTCCCTCTTTTCTTTCACGTGTTTTTATCCGTTTACTACATATTAACATCACTTGCTGTAACTGGTATAAAGAGTTTTAAGAAATAATTAAGATTAATTTTTTGCATTTAATTTAACTGCATTTTGTAATTATATAAATTTGGTTTTTGACTAAAATTAATGAAACGGTATGATTTTAGTTATTTAATCAATTTTTTAACCTGATAAAGAGATTCAAGCATGAGTATAAACGTATAAAGTGTAAACATATAAAGTATTATAGTGTTTGTTTTTTAAGTCAGCTTGTCAATTATTTTGTTATTCAAATTTTAAGCAAACCCAAGAAAACCACCAAATAAGGGAGAACACATAATAGTTAAAGTATCAAATCTATTATTGCTTTTAAAATTTAAAAACGAAATTTAATAACAATTAGAAGGGAAAAAATATAACTCAACCCTCCCATCAAAACTCAACATCAAATCATCAATTATTTTATTATTAAAGTGGCAAACAAATAAACGAACAAAGCAAGAACAACAAATTGCAGTATGGCAGGTTGGTGTATGTGGGTGAGAGAGAGGATTGAGATAAGAGAGAAACAAATTGGATAAGTGAGGAAGATGAGTTAGGGTTAAGTGCGTGTTTCTGATTTTTTTTTATTTTTTTATTTCAAATAAAAAAAATTATTAAAATACCCCAAGTGTTTAAAGTATTTTT